ATCAGCATAAGCCAAATTTCAGCATTAGCGAACAGGATAATGATAGTGATACTACTAGCTATTTTAATTTTATTGGTCGCTTGATGCTTCGGTTCCATGCATAGTGTATTTTATCTTTTTCTCGTGCTCCTACCAATACCATACAGATATAGATACAAGTACAGCATAAGTAATCCTTATCCGAACGCTTTGATCAGCGAGGCGAATTTCAGCCATTAGGGCTTCCCCAAATGCAACACGGTGGCGTAGTGCCCCATCATCCATGTAGGTGTCTAGGCTCCATGTCACCAAGAGTAGTGGTCTCATAGGGCGCGTTTGCGCACCTGGACTAGCACGGCCTAGCCAGCCCAAACGGACCAGGCGTGAGCAGGCCTACCCCAACTGCTGTAACGCAGCTTGTTTGCGCACCTGTACCGATTCAGCCCGGCCCAGGCGAGCTGGTGTTTGTGACCCAATACTCAGCCGGTCTCAAACGCCAACCGCCACCAACTGCCGAGCACAGATTGTGTTTGTCAGCTGCTGTGCTCGGCCTGGCCCAAAGAGAAGGAAGAACAGCATGATCAATAGAGAAGCAAACACTTTGAATGAAAATATACAAAAGACATAGGCCTCAGACTAATTCCATTTAATCAACACATACATTGCCGGCTATATTGCATAATCAAAGAAGCAAATTAAGAACAGTAGCAGAATTAAGTAGTTTGGCAAGCCGAGAAGGGCAACAGGTTAACAGAAAAGAGAGTACATGAATCAAAGTGGCATGTAGCCAGCTAATGCAGTCATCCTATTGTGTCATCATCGGCCTAATTAAAACAACAGCTGTGGCACATGAACAGCTTGAGTGACAGACCAACTACAACCATAAACAAGATCAAGATGACAGCATTTTTGCAACAGCCTTGCAGCCTAGGTGAATGAGGATAGATTTCAGAACCTTGAACTGTCACCAGTTCATGGGATGCTGATGCATCCCCATGAGGGGCATCAATTGGTAACAGCAAGGGTTCTTGAGGTACCCTTGCATTAAAATCTTTAAGAGCATCATCATAGTTGTTGTACTTCTGATAGATAGCCCCTTCTTCCCTAAGCATTTGCTTAGCATACTCATACCATGTAAAATAAATCCCAGATTTCTTCCCTTCAAAGACCACATAGCAAGGAGGCATTCTCTGAAACCAACCAAATGTAGAACATGTAAGTGGTCTGAATGACATGCCTCAGTCGACCATTCAGTTTGAATGATGGTAAACATCATCGGCTACTTGATAAAAAAATTAGCCTCAACTTAGTAGTTTGGTGGTTTTTTCCTTGTTTAGTCATTGGTGGCTACCAAAAATTGTAAGAACCAAATAAAGAGGCAAATAAACAACAGTTGCACTCACTGCCATACAGACCTTTTGATCAGTTGCACTCACTGCCATCAGCCATCACAAGAGGATGTTGTTGCTATGGAGTACAACTGAGAATAAGTGTAGAATGGAAGGATAGGCAAATAAAGAACAAAGCACAACAACAAAACCATCAAAACAAGAACAAGGTAACCACCTCATGTTTGTTTTATGCATCATAGGCCTTTAAATCCCACAGTTACCACCAGGGCATAAACAACACAAATAGACAACTAGTTATCAAATAAAAAATAGCCAACAGAGGCTACAAATAAGTTTCTTACAATACCAAGTTCAGCCCAACAGCCAAGGGCTCAAATGTTCCCAAATCATTGCCTATTGTTAGCCACCCTCCTAGGCAAACTACACCATCAAGGTCAGGTGTCAAAAGAACAAGCAGATTGCACAAAAAGCTCATGTTGTCAAAAGAAGAGAGAGTGGGTGAGGGGGGTGGAGGAACTATACATGTCTACAGTCAACCCCCTCCTGGCCTTCTAGCCCTTCATGTGTAGTGGAACTACACATAGTAGTTTTTGGCCAGGAAGGTCCTAAGCCAAAGGGCCCTATGGGCATCACTCATGTTCACAAAGCCCCTGACTTGGGTCTTGTTGTCCAGGAGGAAGGTGTAGGCAACAATAAGTGCCTCCTCACTGAAGCCAGGCATCTCCATCACATCAAGGTATAGATTGGCATCAACATGGGCAGGTCCAGACTCCCTAAGAGCATTGGCCACATTGTTCGCAGCATCTGACATGTTAGTCAACATGAGCATCTCCTCCTTAGAGAAGTTCCCTCTCTTCCTTTTTTTGCATGCATACCCAGCATCTACCAAGAACATTCTACCTACACAAGACATCTACTGTGAGAGTGTGTGTTAATATGCCATGGAATATGTAATTAGTGTTGGTGTGCAATTACCTTCTGGCAAACTCAAGCCATCTTCCCTGGCTACAGCATCTGCCAAAAACAGTTGCATCATGGGCAGAGCCCTCCCAGCCAGCCAGGACATAAGTGAATTTCATATCACAATTCATAGCTACCATCACATTTTGGGTGGGATCCTTTTTCCTACCCCTGAAAGCTTGTTGCATACGCCTAGGAACCCTTGCTAGGAAATGAGTGCCATCTTTAAAGCCAATGTCATCCTAAAAAGCATGGGTCAGTCATTGTAACAGGTCTAATGTAACTAATGAACCCAGGGTATACAATTACCTTAAAATATGGATTCTATGTATGGCTTCCAAGAATCTTTGGGTGAGTGGTAGTGTTAGCTGACTTTATCATTTCATTCCTAAGCTCACCCACGGCATACAACACCTGATGGAAGTGCTTGTGGACAGTTTGGATGGACCTCCTAAAGGACTGGTGGACAACCCTAAATCTTTGGTTGTGCCTACAACATGTAAAAACATGGCAACCTGCTCTTCTACTGACACCCCCTCCCTACCAGTGACAAGACTCCTCTCTCTAAAAGTTCTCACTAACTTAAAAAAGCACCTCTCTTCATCCTAATCATAGAAATACACTCTGAATCAGTGGAATTGTATATCATTCTCAGTGTTCTCCGTCTGTGCTGTTCATTTTCATCCCTAATCAGGGCCAGTGCTATAGGATCAGGCAGTGGGGTTTCAGGTTCAGGGGTTTTCCTTTTCAGCCTAGTGGATACAAAGGAAACCATAACAACAGTCAAGGCAGCTGCCTTCCTACACAGCATGTCACGGCTCAAAGACAGATCCATCTACAAGCATGTAAAAATGTAACATGATTTCAGCTTAATGTACCCTGCTAGGCATCAACATGAATGTGAAATGAATGCATATGAACAAAAGCATGGCTGCATCTTGTATGTGATGCCTCCCAATGCTAAATTTGGACAACATCATCGACCAATGATGGAACAAAAAACTCAGAGCAATAGTAATCAGAAACAGATCAACATCCCTAACAGATCAAGAACAGCAAGGTACAGGTAACACTAACAACTGCATCAAACAGTTATGAACAACAAGGTACAATACTAATATGAAACAGATCAACAACCCTAACAGATCACGATCCCAACAGATCAAGAACAGCAAGGTACAAGTAACCCTAATAGGAGCATGAAGCAGTTATAACAAGTATGAAACCCTAACAGATCATGAACAGCAACGAACAAGAAACCCTAAGAACTTGTCCAAAAAAGAAGGCAGATTGGGGGTCGATTTCACCTTGGCTCGGGGTCCAAACAACGGAGAGGAGGCAGATCTAGAAGTAGAGGATGCAGATCGGGAAGAAGACGAAGCAGATGCGGACGGAGAAGAAGAGGAACACCGCCGCCACGGAGTCCCAGCAGCAGCCGGAGCGAGGACGCGGCGAAGAACCTCGGCGCCGGTGACCGAACCCACAACCAGCCGGAGGTCGCTGCCGCCGCCACGCAACACCACTCACCGCCGGTCTCTCACGAGGGAGGTGGAAGAGCAAGCACCGAGTGGAAGAAGGAGAGAGTGGAGAGTGGGAACCCGTATATAAAGGCCGGCGAAATCGCCGCCATTTCGCTTCGCGCGCGGCGGCCAGAGCGGGAGTGGGGAGCGGGGACGCGCGCGAAGAAGTTTCCCCTTCCCGCCAGAGCCCGCGCGAGCCACCCCGCCGCCGCCCAAAATTGCCTGCGTGCGCCGCCACGAGCTCGGCTCCAAAGAAACGAGGGTTTTAGTCGTTTCCAGAGGGCCAGGTGGAGAGGGCGTTTTTGGCTCTGGAAGCCAGGCTCTCTCGCGGGCCACGACCACAAACATGGCAAGTTGCAGCCCACGGGCGCAACTGGGCCTCCGGGCCAGGGTCGCAAACGCGCCCTTGCTCATAGTCTCATGTAGAGGAGTCGATAGTCTCAACTGACAAAAAGGAGAAGCCAAGGTTGCTGCATGCACTGTCAAAAGCTTCTGACAATAAAGCATTCATCTCCCTGCCCACGATGGGGATGCACCTCCCTGCTGTTTGCTTGCATGCGTGGACCGACCGAATTTAGCTGAGCCACGGTGCTGTTAGCTAATGTTGGGCGTGTTCTTATAGATTGTAGTCTTTTTGTTTGTGAAACTTTTGGTCTATGAATTTTTGTGCATGCGTGCGTGCGTCATGCATGATGAAACTTTCATTGGCAGTTTGTTCATGCATGCATGATGAACGATTTGGTCATGTATGATAAAACTCTGCATGCCACGTATAGTAGGCTAGTACAGTGAAAATTTGACTCTGCATGCGTCAATTTGGAGCATGCAGCTTCAGGTGATCGAACTATCGAAGAACACCCAAATCCAAGTACACACAGCCAGGTCACCGAACCCCAGGCCAGCCCTACCAAGCCGGCGGCTGACGCGTCGGTCACGGCCTCACGGGCCCTCACGTCGGCCTCTCCCCCGCGCGCGTCCAGTAAAGCCAACTGGCTGCTCCGAGCAGCTCGCGGTCTCGGTCTCGCCGGGCGCGTGCGCTTCCCTATATTTCGGCGCCGCCCCCCTCCTCCCCCGCCGCCGCACCGCGCCTCGCCTAAAAACATTTCCAGCCGTCTTCTTCCTCGTCTCGAAGTGAGTTCGCTTCATCCTCCAAACCCGGGGCATTAACACGCGCGTGAGGTAGGGCAAGATGGCGGCGGTGGCGGCGGCGGTGGCGGTGGCGGCTGAGTGGGAGGAGGAGCGTTCCGTGACGATGGAGGAGGATGACGGAGACATCGAGGACGTCCCGCCGCCGCCGCTACTAGGCAGGAATGGCGACAGCGAGGACGAGGCGGAGGCGGGCTTCGTTGAACTCCCAGCGGTGGCCGCGGAGCTTCCGGTACGTCCGCGCGCAGTGCATTCTCTACGATCTCGTTCCTGCTTCGAAAGGCGCGGCCGCGGGGCGGGTGATGTTGTTCCGAAACGATTAATAAACGATCTTGTGTTCACATGTGACATTTCGTTTATCTTCCAACCCCCCTAGGGAAGCGACTGACACCTACACCATTGCTGCGCCTCCGGGCTTCGGTCACCTCGGCGGTGGTGACTGCAGTGACCTGGGCTCTGACCTGAAGCTGCCTCTTCTGTCGGACAAGCCACAGGGGAAGCAAGATTCATCCAAGAACCTGCTGGCAGAAGCAGAGCCCTTCGGTTCAGTGCTAAGTGATGGGAAACTCTCAGATAGTTTGCAACAAGCTGCAACAGCCCCAACCACTCCGGGGTGTAATCTGACGCAAACCGTGTTCAATGGTACAGTGCTACACTGCTACCCCTGCAATTTACTGCAACTGAAATGTCACTTATTGAATCTCCCTAGGATTGGACGTGTCTCATGTTTTGCCTTGTCGTCGCCAGGGGTCAACGTGCTTGCTGGTATTGGCATTTTCTCTGCTCCTTACACGATCCGTGAGGCCGGATGGGCCAGCCTTGTGGTTCTGGCTTTTTTCGCTGTGGTTTGCTGCTACACTGGAGTTCTACTGAAGTATTGCTTTGAGAGCAAAGATGGTGTGAAAACCTTCCCAGACATTGGGGAGGCTGCCTTTGGAAGGATTGGTCGGCTTCTCATTTCTGTAAGTGCTAGTTTCTTTAGCACGAATTTTATTTTATTGCACAAAATTTATAAGTAGATTGGATTTGAGGACGCGTGAGCACTGAGCCACCACATATTCTCATTTAAAATTCAGTAAAAAAAAACAGTCAGTTGTTTCTACATTCCCTTTGGCACAGATAAATCATATCTACCGAAATCTCCAAGACTAACCATTTGATGTTTGTGTTTTGTCTGTGCAGATAGTTCTGTATACCGAGCTCTATGTAAGAAACCCATTTTGCCTGGCTTATATTTTGCATAATTTTTTTTATTGCTGTTGTTTGTGGTTAAATACAGGACAGCATTCTTTTCACATTCGAATTATCTATGCTTTTTTACTGCAGTCCTTTTGTGTGGAGTTCATTATTTTGGAAGGTGATAATCTGGCGTCAATTTTCACAAGCACCACTTTCGATTGGAATGGGATTCATGCCGATGGGAGGCACTTCTTTGGAGTTTTATTTGTTTTTGTTGTCTTGCCCAGCGTGTGGTTGCGAGATCTTCGAGTAATATCTTACCTTTCAGGTCTCGCTGCTCTCATCCAACTTCATTTTTTCAATTTCGTCATGCATATTATAACTGATTGATTGATATACCTAATTATTCCTTCAGCGGGTGGTGTGTTTGCAACTCTTCTGGTTTTCCTATCTGTTGGTTTGGTTGGTGCTATTGGCAACGTAGGGTTCCATATGGCAGGAAAAGTAGTGAAGTGGGATGGTATACCATTTGCAATTGGGATATATGGTTTTTGCTACGCTGGACACTCAGTATTTCCAAATATCTATCAGTCAATGTCCGATCGCACAAAATTCAACAGGGCACTCTACATATGGTATGTAGATAACCATATGTCAATTTGAACTGCATTGTGATGGAAGTAACTCTTGTTGTTCAGTAATGATTTTTCTCATCGTCATGTATAATCGTGCTGTTCAGTTTTGCAATATGCACGGCAATTTATGGTGCTATAGCTGTTATCGGCTACCTCATGTTTGGAGATAAGACTCTGTCACAAATAACTTTGAATCTTCCAAAAGATTCATTTGCGTCAAAAGTTGCACTGTGGACCACGGTAACTATTTTTTTGTTGGTTGCCCTGATTCAATTAATTGAGAGCGCTTTGTGTTCCTTCATATATACCCTCATTGTGCCTTTTTTTTTTTTGGTTTCAGGTGATCATTCCTTTCACAAAGTATCCTTACACATCTTAATTATCACTTCAGAAACTTGAGGGTTTTAGGACTGCATTGTGTTTCTGAAATTGTCTGTCTCCTTTAAGGGATTGCTTCATCTTTAACTGCTTGCAGATATTCTTTGGTGATAAACCCATTGGCTCGGAGTATAGAAGAGTTGCGCCCAGCAGGGTTTCTGACAGATAGAGTCTTCTCTGTTACGCTGCGGACTACCCTTGTTGCATCAAGCGTATGCATTGCCTTTCTCCTGCCATTCTTTGGTACGTAACTGACCCATTATGCTTAAACGTGGAGTCCTGTCTGCATCTGTAGTTATCAATAACTTTTGTATGTTTAACCTTGTTAACATATTAAAACATAGTCGTCTTTGATGTTCAGAAATCTTGAGAAAACATGCTTCATTTTAAATTTTATAAACAATTTGATCTTTATTTGCTCATATTAAGCAGGTTCATAAGCTATAGAATGAAAAATGATTCTCGGCTGTTAAGGAAGCATATATATACAAGAGTTTTAATTTTCTTAGGCAGTGAAAATACTTTCTAAAAATACACAGGAGACCTATGCATCTTCATTTTTTTTCCTGGTTTCTTGTGAATGTATAACATGTGATTCTGAGTTGTATTGCGCATCCTAGGTCTTGTGATGGCTCTCATTGGATCTCTTCTTAGTATACTCGTGGTAAGTTGCTTCTCTTCAGTTTCACTACTTGTCTGGCCACGGTAGTATAATTTGGGCACCAATTCTTTTTTCGAAATAGGATCTTAATGGCCATGCTAATCGTCCTGTTCTGCAACACTACTTCTACAGTCCCTACAGCGAACGGACAGTGTTTTTTCCTCACACATTTCAGCATAAGCATCAGCATAAGCCAAAATGCATGAAAACAAAACTGTCAAGTCAAATATAGTCCCTACTGAAACAAAGCTAGCTAGATTCTGAAACCTCGTTCTACATAACATTTTTATAGAAAAAACGAAGGCGTTCTATATATCTGATGAAAAGCATTGTGATAACTAACTGAAGAAACACGCAACAGACGAGTTTGTCGTTAACACTGCATCTGCATGATTGCCTGTCATTTTCAGGCGCTCATAATGCCCGCCCTGTGCTTCCTGAAGATCGCTCGGAATAAAGCGACACGCTTGCAGGTAAACACCTGGGGCTCTCGAGACAGTACATGTACACAACGTCGTTCATGCTCTAAGACTAACACCTGCTTATTTGTCACTCCGATCCGTCGCCGCTACCGAAGGTCATCGCAAGCGTCGTGACCGTGGTTCTGGGCGCCGTCTGCGCGGTTCTTGGGACGTACAACTCCATCGCCAAGATAGCCGAAAGCTACTAGAAAGTGCAACGTCCAAATTAAAGACCAAGGTCTGCCATGGCCCGGCCGCCGCGCCTGCACAGGGCGCCATCGTGCCCTGTGTCTAGGCCCCTCCCTTGTATGTACTGCACCGGGCATGCAGAAATGCAAACTGTATTCGGTCTGTTCGTGGCCCGTCCCGGCCTGTACAGGGTACCATCGTGCCCTGTCGGCCTGCAATGCAATAAGAGGGCACCTCTGTGCGTGCGTGACTGTGTTTTATGAAGACCTGGTGTTTCTGCTCGCATTTCCATGAATTGTGTTTCTGCCATGGCCCGGGACTGTGCCGTGCCGGCGGGCGGCGGTTACCGAGGTCCGAGGCTTGCAGCCGCGGTCAAGCGTTGCGGGGGCGAGGACGTAGCAGTTTGGGCGTGGCCGGCCTATCGAAGAGCTCTACCAAATAGGGCCTTTATATATCGAGAGCAAGTAAGATTCTTTCATCACATAGGAAAACATATATGGACAATACTAACTTCCTACTATCAATTTCTTTGGAGAATATATCAGAGCGAGCACACGCACAACATGAATCAGACTTACCACGTAGTATTTGTAGAACATAACCATATATAGGCAAAGAAGCCGTATAGCAAGACATGAATACTTTGCTGGGAAAGCATAAGGCCTCATCAGCATTGCTGCAATTAGAAGCTGCCAATGATTCCACAAGGAAGCCTATGAACCTTTTCTTCAATCGTCCTTCAATTCAACTGATATGCCCTCAAACTTCCTTTTGATGTCCACGAACTTATATAGGGTGTTTGGTTTGAGGCGCCATCCAATCCTAGAAGAGGTGGTGCATCTGAGTTCATTCCTCAAATTTTGTCGAATGACTCTATTTCTCGTACTAGTACTAGTAATAATTATTAGTTTGTGAGGAATGAGGTGATGATGCATCAACCTATTCCATTCCACGAACAAACAAAAAAGTGAGAAATGAGTAGACGATGGACCACATCATTCCTCAAACAAAACACACCCATAATGTTCCAAGTTGCTACACTTTTGTTATTGCTCTAGTTCCTATTTGCTAAAATGATTTAATTTTAAACTCCAGATAGACAGATAGGAGTACTATAAGCTACCATCAAGGGGCAAACTTGTTGCACTCACCATCTTCTACCAAACGGCGGAAAAGGAACCTCCCAGTTGTTCCCTCTCAGAACAGCGCGGGTGAACCTAGAACAAGCACATCCACATTAAAAGTCCTGTTAAGATCCACAAAGCTAATAGTTAGCTCTCCTTGAATCCAAACGTGTCTAGCTAATTGTTAGTTAAATACTCAACTAACAAGTATTTCATAGTTGGACCAAACTAGCTAATAACAGTTAATATTATCTATAGACATTAGTCTATTAGCTAGCTAACGACGTGTTAACAGCTAATAGATCTAAACAAGGCCTAAGAGCAACTCCAACGGTTTTGCAAATGGGCTTGGCATTCTTGTTTTTGGAAAAAACTTTAAAAATCTCCTTTCCAATGGTTTGGCAAATGGGCTTGGCATTTCTATTAACTTGGCAAAAACCTGGGATGGACTCACATATATCTTGCTTTGCGCTCGACCCATTCCTCTCTCGCTTTCTCCCGCGCAATATTTTCCCTCTCGCTTCGCTTATTCCCTCCAGCGCCGCCGTTTCCTTCCCGCGAAAACCCGGAAGAGTCGACGGGATCGCGCGTGCGTCGTACATTCCCGCAAACCCCGTAAGGACCTCCAAGGGATCACGACCTGTTCTTCTGGGCGACCAAAGATCTTCATCAACGCGGCTAGGGTTGAGGTACTCCATGATCCAATCTTTCAATTGATGGTATCGTTTTCCATTGTTGCTAGCTAGCGTTCGTGGCTCTGTCAAGGAGGGGATGGACGGCTGTGCTATGATTCCCAAATAGTAGCGTTTGCTTCTAGAATTCAACAAAGGTCTTCGATGATATGCACAGATGTGTCCGTTTAAACAATATCCTCCTCGATGATATGCATGTCCCTGTATGATGTGAAGGTGTATATGTACGAGATGTCTCGCATGTCCTTTGATCTTTATTTTTTTGAATAAGAGCGAATATATGTAGTGTCTTTGATATATTCGTGCTAATTTGAAACACAACATTTGCTGTTTTTTGGCGATTCGTTCAAATGGAAGGAATGGGATTCTATACGGGCATACTCACATCAAATGGCACAAACGTTCTCGGCTTGGGCGACTTGAACTTTCCATCGACTCCACACACTCAAAGAACCTAGTAATGATCTTCCTTCCGCATTTCAAGATGATGATGTTGTGGAAGTGCAGGCAGCTGAAGTTGCTGGTTGCCGTCGTGCTTTGGAAAGGGTGCGTCACATAGGACAAAAAAATTTGATAAAGACGAAGATATAGTTATATGCTCAGCTTGGTTGAATGTTAGCAAAGATCCCATTCACGGTGCCAATCAAACTCGTTTATCATTTTGGGGTAGAATTCGTGCTTTCTTCGACGAACACAAGACAACTAAAGCTATCAGGACAGAGAACTCTATTATGCATAGGTGGCTCACTATTCAGAAGGATGTGAACAAGTACTGTTCATGCTACGAGAAAATTGAGCGTAGGAATCAAAGTGGAGCGACTATCCAAGACATGGTTTGTTTTCGTAGTTGGTTCTTTTATTTGTTTCGCAATATTTAGTTAATATGTGAGGATATAAACATTTTAAATTTTTTACTTGTGTAGATTACTGAAGCATCTGAGATGTACACGGGAGTAGACGAGGAGAAGAAGTCGTTTACTCTTCTACGTTGTTGGAACAGGTTGAAGGATGAAGACAAGTGGAAGACAAAAAGGATTGAACTGGCTGAGCAGCAGAAACAAGCCACTAAGAAAAAACAGAAGACTACCAAGGACTCCACGCCGAACAATGTGCAAGCTAACATCAATGACGAAGTGCAAGAGATTGCAGCGCCAAGTTCTGAAGATCGAAAGAGGCCAATGGGTCAGAAGAGGGCAAAAGAAGCTTTTAGGCGAGGAGGCGCTGACGCTTGCATTGAAGCTTTGGACAAGATGTGGGAGAAGAAGGAGGCTTTTGACAGGGAAAGAGATAAGGAGAAAAAGGAGAGGTACATGGCCTCAATTGAGGTAGAGAAGGCTTCACTTGAGCTTGAGAAGAAGCGATTGTCAAATGAAGAGAAAAAAAATTGAAGCGAGACTTGTTGAAGGAGGAGAAAGAAATCATGTTGGCGGACAAGAGCTCCCTCGACCGGGACCAGTGCAGTGGGCTTGAGATAATGAAGAAGAAGATCCTTGCACGACATATGGCAAACTAGTTTTAGTTCATGCCTTGCACTTTATTTACCCAAACATTATAGGATTCGATTTGTGAATCGGGAACCTTTACTTCTTCACTTCAATTGTTTTCATAGAATCATTGGTTCTATTGTCATATTTATTTGAGTGTACTTGTGTGATACATGCAAATTTGTCATATTTTATTTGAGTGGAAATTTGATTCAAAGATGCAGCTATCATATTTTATTTCATGTATGGCATGTGAATTGGTTCCCGATAATGATCAACGTGCATGGTATTTGTGTAGTCATGCGCGCATGGACTCGATGGAACCGAGTCTTGCTCCCGATCAAACCGAATGTTGTTAGCGACAATTGATAACGACAAAGCTGAACGCCTGCTGCATCCATGTCGGTGATGCGACACGAAAGATAGCTGCTTCACGGCAATTTGATGGAAACCAAGCAATCGTCTGACAAAGATAAATCAAATTGTAACGTCCCAGATCAAATTGTGTCTTGCCGAGACTATGGAATTAACACATATGTTAACACAAATCACTTAAAAAGAAATATCGAATACAGAAATATGAAACTAAATTGTTCATTACAATTGATAACACAAAGTGTTCAGTACACTTAAATGAAAATGCTAAGAAATTGAAACTAAATCATGATGCTGGTTCCATAGGATATAGATCATGATGATGGTTCCATAGGTGCTCGATGAGGTCTTCTTTCAACTGGAAATGTGTTTCCTTGTCTCGGATCTTTTTATGCGCTTCAATAAATTCAGCTAGTGTGCGAGTAGGAATGCCATGAGAAGGTTGCACATTTTCACCACCATAATCGAATCTCTCATCAGGGTCCATATCTCTTTCATCTTCAACAATCATATTGTGCATGATGACACAAGCCCTCATGATCAATGCTAGCGTCTCTGTGTCCCAAACGCGACCTGGTTGTCGAACAATGGCAAACCTAGATTGAAAAGCCCCAAAAGTTCTTTCAACATCCTTCCTCGCTGATTCTTGCGCTTTGGCAAAGTATTTCCTCTTGTTACCCATAGGAAGAGAGATGGACTTCACTAAAGTAGCCCAGGGGGGATATATACCATCGGCGAGATAATAACCCATCTTGTAATCGTGACCATTAATGGTATAGTTCACCTCTGGAGCAATACCTTCCGCCAGGTTGTCAAATAATGGAGACCGGTGAAGGACATTGATATCATTATGAGACCCAGGCATCCCAAAAAATGCATGCCATATCCAAAGGTCATGAGACGCAACAGCTTCTAAAATGATAGTTGGCTTGTTCACATGCCCCTTGTACTGACCCTGCGATTCAACTGGACAATTCTTCCATGCCCAATGCATACAATCGATAGACCCTAACATTCCAGGGAAACCTCTTTTCTCATTGAGTGCTAGTAAGCGTGCTATGTCAGCCTCATTGGGATGTCTCAGGTATTCCGCTTCAAATATTTCAACAACTGCAGCAACAAACCTACGTAGGCTCTCAAGTGCAGTGCTTTCGCCAATGCGAACGTACTCATCTGTAGCATCAGCAGGAACCCCATATGTGAGCATACGTAGAGCGGCAGTGACTTTTTGGAAGCAACTCAGACCAAGCACACCTGTCGCATCCCTTTTCTGCACAAAGTAATAATCATGTGCTTCAACAGCATTCATGATGCGTAGGAAAAGATCCCTATTCATTCTGAATCTGAAGAAAATGAAAAAAAGTTCAACACCTCGTATAAAAATTTAACAAATACTATGAATTAATCTGAGGTGAAAGAACAACAACCTCCGACGGAATAAATCTGGACCATACGTCGGATTATCCGCCAAATAATCTTGAAACATCCTCCGGTGGCCGCCTTCTCTATCGCGATAAATAACAGCATGGCCATGGACCGAACCACCGGGTCTTCTTTTTTTATTCCAAAACATGTGCACAATCCGAGCAGCTGTGAAGATGAAGTAATCATCGTCGTCATCCAATCGTCTTCGGAGACGTGATCTGGAAGCCCTCATCTGTCAGAAATGACAATTGCACATTTGAGAACAATTGCGCATCTGAGAACATCCAACAAAATACGATAGGCTCTGCTGCAAGCTATTCATCTACGAAGCACAAACCTTGGAGATTTGCAGGGCACGCCGGCTTGATGTAGTCTCCAGCAACCTGGAATCCATCTTTGGCTTCCTGGGCACGGTGGTCGGGGTCAGCTACGGCGGGATGGTGGCGTTCAAGATGGTGGAGGCGCACCGTTGTCGGGCTACCTGCTGGCGAGGCAGCCTGGCAACGCCGCGACCGCGCGAGGAAACTCCCGCGACGGCGCGAAGAAAGCCCCGCGAGAGATCGAAGTCCGCGCGCGAAGGGAAAAAATCACCGGGAAATAGTGTGGGTCCACAATTTTCGTTTTTGCCAAGTGAATAATGGGGAACCGTTGTAGATTGATTCTTTTTACCTTTGCCATATTTATTTGGGAGTTGGCAAACTCCATGTTTTGCCAAACAAAAAATGCAAAACCGTTGGAGATGCTCTAAGATGCCCCATCGGTTGATCCAATTATGACCGGGTGATCAAACAGATGCTAGAGCCTTGCCCTCGGAGGGGAGTTGGGCCGAGTGATATAAGTCATGGGCCTCTTTTTCTGTCTTGATGGGCTGCACTCTGTTTCATCCTTACCGCAAGTCTTATGCACAAAACCTCTGATCCTCTCACCTCAAAACCCTAACGTCCGTCCCCAATCCACCTCCCACCGCCGTCCCGCACCAAACCTCCATCCACCCCGAGCCGAGCCGACGACGACGACGCGCCATGAGGCCTCTCGATGAGAAGGAGACGACGCAAGTATTCGAGAAGCTGTTCAAGTTCACGGGGCCCAACCTGAAGCACCTCCTGGAGCGGCCCGCAGTGGAGGGCCCCGACGCGGAGCCCGGCCGCTACTGCCTCCGCCTCAACCGCAACCGCGTCTACTACGCCTCCGAGGCCCTCGTCCGCCGCGCCACCGCCGTGTCCCGCCCGCGCCTCGCCGGCGTGGGGACGCCCATCGGCAAGTTCACCCACCACGGCGCGTTCCACCTCACGGTCCACGCGCTCGACCTCCTCGCCGCGCACGCGCGCCGCCGCGTCTGGCTCAAGCCCGACACTGAGCGCTCCTTCCTCTTCGGTAACTCCGTGCCCAAGTCCTCCCTCGCGCGCATCACCGAGAACACCAAGGTCGGGGACGGGGTGGTCGTCATGTCCATGGCCGACGTCCCGCTCGGGTTCGGCATTGCCGCGAGGTCGGCGCAGGACTGCAGGAAGGCCGACACCAACGCCGTCGTCGTGCTGCACCAGGCGGATGCCGGGGAGTACCTCCGCAAGGAGGAGGAGCTCATGTGAGGTGTGCAGAGGCTTGGCTGATTAGGTCATATTCATGAGTGAATTATGGAAAATTGTGCCTTGTTGTGGTGTTCCAAGGCTTGAGGCATATATCTATGTACTGAATGGTTAATTGTCGTTATGAGATGTGATGATTGCTATCGCTAGATTTCACCTTTAGCAACTGGTTCTGCTTCTAGGTGAATATCTGATTCAGTTGTCCTCAGAGAGTGCTAGGGCCTTGTTTAGCTGGAGGAACAGGCTTGCTCTTGAATGGTTTTGTTCATCATTTCATTGGGTTCATCTGAATGGCATGACCTTACATCTTTTATTCAATTGACATTGTGTCCATATAGAATGGTACGGGAATGGATCAGTTCATACCATTCCTCATCAAATCAGAAGGTTAGGCATAAAATTTAGGATATACTAGGACTTGCCCATTCCACAGACTAACACCTCATACATTATTGTTATGCAACTTTTCAATCCTTAAGGTTCATAAATTCTATATATATAGGATTTAATGATTCTTTGGTTTTCATATACAAATGATGTCAATAGTGCCTGAGGCTACTCGTAGGTCGCACATGGCAATTGCTTCTGCTGCTGGCAATCATGAAAATAGAGTTGATGGTCTTTCTTCAGTAAAAACAGTACTGGATTTTAACTTCCGAAGTGTGAATAATCTACTAAGGCTTGTGCGGATTTCAATGGAGTTGGTCAGCTGCTGAGGTGTTCAGAATCTGAGAAAATACCATCCGATGGAGGTTCCTGTTGGATGTTTAATCCAATTAACTTCGTTCTTGATGAAGTAGCATGAAGCTGAATAGTTCAACAGTGCAAAAGCATAGGTCTTCTCATTTGCCCTCGCTGGTCAATTTGTACCGAGACTGGCCATGGAATTCTTCTTCGTTTTTACTTTGATGGCACCCAATTAGTATACATAGTTGCATATCCACTTGGATGATTTTGTTAGTGAGGGACGCAAGTGAAGATGAGCTTCGCACTGCTCAACACCTCAAAGCTTGTGATAGTTTTGAGGAAGAAGGATGTTCTTGCGCCTGCACACAATACATTGTTATCTGGAAAGCGGTTTGCTCCTCAGCATTCTCTTCCTACATAATGTAAATTATTATGTGAATCTCCAATCAAGGCTGGTTTATGGCTGCAGAGTTTTCCTCTGAGCAGTACAAGATGATGTGTCGCCAGTTGACAATTTTGATGGTAACTCTTAGTTAAGGACAAATGAATTCTGTGTCTTTTTTTAACTGCTACTCCTTGATTTGGTATCTTTTTTTTTTTTTGAGCAGAGAGATGGGACAGCAAAGCGAACTAATTGTGCTAACCAAGAAATCGGCTAGTAGTTTTTTTTTTCCTTTTCAATCTTGCCATGTCGTGTCTTCTGGATAAAGTTCATGCAGGTATCTTTACTAATATTATTATCGTTAATTAATGGGATTGTACATGTCTATATTTGCTCTTTCCTTGAAGTAGTGTAAAATGAAATTGAGTTCTAGCTAGTTTACTGAATAG